ACTTTATTCCCATGCAATATTAATGCAATCACCATGACAACTGTGACATCCTCTGAAATTATACACCTTTACAACTATGGAACAGCTTCAGAAGGAAAAAAACACATCTACAGCTTGCAGGAAGGTTGCTTTAATCTAAAATCTATCCTTCTTTTTATAAGGATTCAAACATTTCTTCAACATCTTTTTTTTCCTAAAGGCAACTGTAAGTTTGTTTCTGATGTGTATCTGACCTAAGCATAGCCATGGCTGTCTGGTTCTTTTTCCATACTGAAAAATAAATATAGACTCTAAATTGACATGATTATCATTTAAAGGCAGAAAGTTGTACAAGACAAAAATAAAAAAAAAGTCTGCACAAAGTAGCTGATCAAAGTCTTTTAAAAATTGAAATATTCAACATGTCAAAACCAATCATGGCTACATCAACCAGAAGCCTTCCTTAATCAGGAGCTGAGGTAGGATGCATCTTTTACATTTCTATAGTGTCAGCACAGTGTTTTTAGTGAACAAATAATCTGGATCACACTGAGAATAATATAGGAAATTACATAATGTAGGAACCTAAATAGCAGCCATAAATAATTGTTCAGAAAAGTAGTATAAAGGCCACCAGACACTGTGTCTTGACAATATTATCCTTTTCATAATGTGTTCAGAAAAATCAAAATGACATAGGCAGGCCTTAGTAATGATGCCTCACTTCTAGAAAAATGCCTCATGGATTGCATACATTGCAGTCCTCTGCTTTTTACAGTCGTGTTACATTTAATTCCAAGTTGAAACCAGGCTGGGATTCAAATGTATAGTCTTCCACTCATTTCAGTAGGAAGTGAAAGCATCAAATATCTCAGGTTTATTAGAGAGGAAATGAGGTGTTATGAAACAAGAAATAGTGAAAACAAAGTGGTAAGTGTACAGCCCTCAGTAAAATTTGAGGTAGAGGTTCAAGGTAGCAGCTACTTAATTTTTGTTACCCTGTTGGTGAGGATGGATGCACTGGATAGTGTCAGAGGGATATCACTCACTTCGTGCAGTGCCTCAAAGTCCTCATCCTAAAGAAAACACTTTAAAAGCCTGTAAGAGTTTTTTCATAAAAAGCTCTAGATAGAGAAAAAAATAAGATAAACAGAGGACTCCTTGATCCATTAAAATCAAGTTCAAAAGTCCAAAACTTATCCACTTCACCATTTCCTGATTGGGCACACTCGTGGTTCTTCCCACTGGTTTCGCCTTACAAGGTACTCCAGCACAAACACAGCACACCCAGAAATTGTGACAGAAAGCAACACATCTCGGTGTCAGACAGTCTCTCTAACACATTGCCAGGGTAACCCTGCACTAGGTTTGTCTCTTACACTGCAAGCAGATGGTGGGAGCACAGCTCTGGTGGCAGGGGATGCTCTGCCTCCAGAGCCATTTCCAGGCAGAGGAGGAGGAGGAGGCAGGTGCTGTGGTTCAGCCAGGTTCTGTCTGTGCTGTGCTGCCAGGTTCAGCATTCATCCAGCTGAAAGCCAGGACAGTGATCTCAGCCATGGACACAGCTACTCAGGAGAATTCTCCAGCATCTTTGCTTTTTCCCCCCAGCTCCAACACTGGCTCCATCACGTGTTTGTCTTGGGAACAAAGCTGAAACCACAGGAGACAGGCTCTGCAATTATGTGACCCCACTCAGGGGAACAGAACAAACACTGCTTTAATTAATTCCTAATGTCTCCATTCTTATTAGTGATACCTAAAGATTTTAAGTTTTTATTAATTTTTCATCTTTTGTAGCTTTGTAGAGTGACAATGCAGGGTTGTATAGCTCCTTGTATTTTTCCTGCACTTTCTCTTGGATTTCAGTGTAAGCTAGCCCTTCTAATGCATACTTGGAATTCTGTTTAGTCTTATTCTTAAGAAGAAGAAACCTATCAAAGACATTTTGTTTTCCACTAGAACCTAGAAGACATAACAAGAAAGCCTCTGGAACAAATCCAGTGGGACAGAACCTGGGGAGAAATTGCCAAACCAACTGCTCTTCTAATTGGATAACATTTTTTAGACTAATGAAAATTTGTTAAACTTACAAAAATTGTATAAATCTGATGCCAGCTGTGCCTATAACCACGGGGTTACCTGGAAGTTTCCATTAAAGACCTGCTTTTTATCTTACTATTTTAACACTGTTGCAAGTTTTGGTTTTTTGGGGTTTTTTTTAGGCAGCAATAGCAGACGCGAAATTGTCCCAGTGACACAAATCCTTGATCATAACTTAGTGAATAAAACAGTGTCTACTTCTGGCAGTGGCTGATTAATGCAATAGTGGGTAAGAGTTGCTAAGGAAAGAGTGGGAGCCCTGGAGAGAGATATTTGCTGTATTGCTTAAACCTCTGTGTGCTTTGCCACAGTAAGAACAGCACCCTAGCATGGGAGATCAAACATGGGCTTGGGATAAAGATAGACAGCAGTCTTACACTTTCAGATGAAAAGTTATATAATCAGCAAAACTAACCAAGAAATGTAGAACACACCAAATGCTTTTCCTACAACCCTCCTGTCAAAAACTATATAAAAAACCAGTCAAGTAAACTAAATCTGAAAATTCTCAGGACACATTTTGTCCTACATTTAGTTAAAATATTCTATATGTGTCTATGCAAGAAGAACCTGTAGGGGTTCTATAACAGCTTTCTTTTGAAAATATTACAGTCAAACATCAGACTCATGGAAAGCTCAGTTCCAGTGACACGATTTTATTCAGGACACTAATTTCTGTGATTATTTTGGCAGGAACCATTGAGCCACCCACTACACTATAACAAATATTAGAACATTTTTTCAATACATGGGTTTTGGATACACATTTATGCACTTTCACTGAAATGAAACCACTTCTGAAGCCAATGAGAAAAAGCAGAAGGTTATTTTAAGGGCAAATTTCAAACAGGTAGGAGCAAGTAAAGCAAACATTGCTAAATCTTTACTCCTGTATGGAGCAAACCAGGCTACAGCCCCTATCCAAAGGACTGAGATCACAGCAGGAGACCCTCGAACCCTCAGCTCCCCAGCTGAGCTCCAGCCCTGCTCATGGAAGCCTGACAAACACCAGACTTCAATCACTACATCATGCCTCTCCAGCTTACCATTTACCCTGGAACTTTTATTATTGTTATTTGGGTTATCATAACACCATGAAACACCATGAAGAACACTAATTTGAAAACACACAACAAGGTGCCCCATAACCTTGACTAAGTTCTGTATCCTCAGCACAAAGCAAGAATAGAGAGATTACAGATACACTGGTGTAGAAAAAGCAGTGAAACAATGTTGATCAGCACGATGAGCCAGGATCCCAGTACACCAGGGCGGAATAATGTAAATTAAGCCAATGGAACTGTGCTGATTTACTGAGAAAACATCCTGTCGAGTTTGTATTATACTTAACTGCTGCTTCTTATTTAATTATAAAAATCTTATACAACACAAACTCAACACAAAAAGCGGCACAAAAGCCTACAGCAAGGCAGTCATTGCCTGCTGTGCACCAGCTGTCTGCAGTGACAGAGCATGGCAGATAGCCCCAGCCTTGAGGGGAGTCTGAGGACTAAAGCAGCCCCTCAGCAACCAAGACCACTGGCTTCTTCATGCATTACAATCTTTGCTGCAAGAGTACTTTCCCACTGTGCCCACTGCCATCATTGGGAAATAATTATTGTTGTCTGGACAGATCCTGTTTTCATTTACATCAGTGGGAATAAAAACACCATGAGAAAGAAATTACAGGGCTGGAATTTTAATCCTAATGCATCTTTTGGGAAGACTGAAGTGCAAATTCCCTTAGTCTTTCCAGAGTTGCCCATTGGATGGGCAGCAGCTGGTACCCAGCCCAGGAGAGGCTCCAGGACTCTGCCAGGCCATGCAAAGCCCAGTCCCAAAGCCCAGGCATCACAGATATTTCCAGGTGCTGAGGAAGTAAAACCAACCGGTAGAAATCCTTTCAGGGAGGGGAAAAACCTACGATGGCAACCTGATGTACAAGTCAGAGCTCATGGTTAGCTGGGGAGAGAGGACTCAGATTCACCCCTGATTTGTGTTTTGGGGGAACAGGGAATCAAGAATGGTATTTTTTTTCCTCCTGGACAAATTTAGTGAGTCAGTTTCATCAAATTACTATCATTAAACACATTTGAAAGGAGCTGTAAGTAGGGGAAAACCCAAAGATAGTCATATGCAGAATCACGCTCCCAGAACTACGGCAGGAGTATTTAATATTTTAGAGGAGGCTGGAAGAAACTTATAGTAATGCTAAATTATGAAATAAGTAAGCCAGAAGAGATTTTTACTTCTGCCTTCAGCTGCAGAAGATGAATGCCTGATAATCCCAAAGGATGTTCCCTCCCCTCTTCAGTCCACACTCCCGCCCCAAAAGAAAAAAAAGGAAAACATAAAAAACGGCTCCAAGTTTTCTTCACAGACTGAATCTGAGATCAAAAGAAATGAAGTTAATAGGAGGGGAACCAACACAGAGCATCACTCATTACTTGTCCCTTTTATTTTCAGCCTCCTCTTCAGGTGTTTTATCACTTTTCCATCTGTGTCAAGAGAGGCTCCCTATGATTTTGGAAAATCAGATGCGATAAAAATCATGCTAAAAATATTTCAGTTGCAAAATATGATGCTTCACAAAATACCAGAAGGCCGGAAATAATTCACAAGGAAGCTTTCAAAATACATCAAGAACACTCATGGCAAAATTGCACTCTGAATCATAAAAACTGTAGGAGAGAGAGGGGTCCCCAAATAAACTTAAAGCTATCTGAAACTTTTTGTACATTAACATTTAGAAAGAAGAAAAATGAAGAAAAATATAGAAGATGTTTTCAAATATGCTTTCTTAATACAAAGAGGTGCCTGGGTGGATGTTCACACATCCAGTTCAACATTTTTATATATAAATTTTCAGATAAAAGTGAGAAATTTGGGTGGGATTTTAAGGAACTTGTAACATGTGTTACCTGAAGAAAGACCACAACAGTGGGATTTTAGTGTATCATCTCTTGTTTGCAGAGCCAGGCATGATGGCTCTGTGCTGCTCCAATGCCATTGTAAAGATTATAAACTGAAAACACCTTGAAAGTTGACTTTGCATTTACCCTTAATTGATAATGACTGTGAGCACACACATGGTTAATCCCACAGCTCAGCTGATGGTACTAATTCATGTCAGCTACGCTGCTCCACTGGCTGCACCTTCACGTGTGAAAAACCAGCTCCTATTTTGTCTCAGGCAACTCCTGGACTCATTTTTCAAAAAGACCCAGTAGTTCTGTTTCTGACTAATTCACTTAATGATAATCTCTTTATATCTTTAATATGTCAATTCCTCTGTGCCTTTGGAGCAGGCTGCATTTTTCACATGAAAGGAAGATTGAGATCCAGAATGAATTTTAGTTACCCGCAGTCTATACTTTACAGCATCATTTCACAAGGCCAAAAAAAATGTTTAATGTTGCTGCTCCTGAAGCAAAGCAGTAAGGCAATATTAGAAACGATCTTGTAAACTGCACTTCAGTGTGCTACATTTGAACTGCTCCAGAGCTGGCTCTGAGAGGTATTGCAAAAGCAAGAAAATCATGTGCCAAGAAAGGGCAAAAGGCAAGCAAGAACCAAGAACCATTAAACTCACTATAGACTGTATTATTTTTGAGCATTTATTTGTGCCAATACCCTCTCCACTGCCTTTCTTCCACTGTGTGTTATTTTAAATGACAGCACATAGAAAACATCCTACTGCAAGACCCAATGCAGTAACAGATTTTCAGAAAATTCTCATCTTACTGTACCCCATAAACATGCAATCATTTAATGTAAGCAGGCCAAATTACATGGTTGAACAACTTACTTTCCATGTGTTTAAAAGAGCCACAATAATGAGCATAAAGTTTAAATTTGTAATTTTTAATCCCTTGTTACAATATACACTAAAAATTGTGCACAGTTGTGCATGTCTCCACAGGAAGCAAGCTGTCAGCATAATTACCATATTTAAATATTATTTCTGAGATCAAATTGGTTTAAACCAAAGAAAAATATAACAACTCACTAGTCTTCACTGTCTGCCACTTCTGTGTTAGCATTGTGGAATGAGTTTTTCATTCCAGCCTTTCTAGGTGGGAAATGACAAACTTTCCATTCCAAACTCTCTACGAGCACCCTGTAACAGATATTACAATGCCAATTAAATGTGCTACTGCTGTCCATGCTGTTCTTCAGCTAGAGCAGCCACGCTGGGCTTCTGTAATTCATAGCAAGTCATAACAATAATGCTATTGTCTGTGGATAATCATCTGTGAGAACTGCTGACAGAGGGGAAGAAGGAAAGACTCTCCATTATGTTAAATCCAGCTCTGAAGAGCCCAAAGGGAGGGGGAAGAGCAGCTTCACAACCCAGAGGTGCTTTCAGAGCACCCTACCATGCTCCAAATCCTCCCTCAGCTTTCCAAAGCTCTGACATGTCCAAGTGCAGCCATGGGGCAGGGCCAAAGGCAGCCTTTGCCTGTTTGTGTGCAGAAGCACAGTTTCTTGGAGACTCTACATAATAAAATGACTAGAAAGCCAGAAAGGGTGGAATCCCACCTCCTATTCTACAAGGCAGAGGATGAGGGCAAAAAATATTTCTTCTGTAACATCACCCACATTATGGGGAAGGCTTGGCTTATCACAAGAGCCTGTGTTGTCTCAAGAGGAGTCAGGAGTTTAGATCTACAGCAGCAGTATGGTTAGACCTACAGGACAACCTTTGAAACTTGCAACTCTCCCACTCATCTTCAGTGGCATTTACGAGTGAGCAGCAAAGTTAGGTCAAAAAAAACCCAAACTTTGTTGGTCTGAAGAATTTTTAAAATAGATTTTGTTCTTCAGGTGTGTGGAGTAAAAGCAGAAAGGAAGGCTGCTGTGAAGAATTAAAGCAGATCAGAAAAAAAGGAAGAAAGAAAAAAGATGTTCTATTCCTTCACTGGTGCAGTTGTGCTGTTTTGCTTCAGCAATATGTTTGTTGCTGCTGTGGAATAGGATCTTAACTGGAAAGAGTAGAAACAAGGAATCCACAAAAGCCTGAAATACCAAAATTGTTTAAGTATGTCAGTTTTAGGGAATGTCTAGTCTAGAATATTCCAAAGAGCATTTGATCTTTGCTTTTCTTTTCCCTCTCACTCACAGACAGCTGTAAATCTAGGTCTGAAAAAACAAGGGTTTAGCTGCAAAAAGAAAAAGATTACTTTTAAAAGCTGCTTTATGCCTCTTATTTTTGATTACCAGGCATGTTACTTATTTGCTTGGAGTACTTACTTTAACTTTGTTAAAGTATAGGTCCAGATTCATTAACATACTCTACTTGCTTTATTCTACCCCAAAGAAGAAAAGCGGCCACAAACTTTACTGAAAAACACTGATTACACTTGCTTTGTATGGAAAAAATGAGAAAAAACAGCAAGAATATATCAGCCAGCATGGACATAAAAATCTATTTCTACTGGTAATAGATAATTTGCCATCCTAAAATGCTTTAAACGGCAGATGTGCGTCATTGCTTCTGACGTAATTTCCATCTTTGCTATAACATCGGGATACATCTTAAAAAATATATAGTGTGATTGTAGTTCATGTTTTTTAAAGGTCACTTTTATCACATTTCCAAATTTGTTGATGATTGAGCTTAAACACCAGGGGAATGATTCCAGTAATGGCTTTGTCTGTTCAGTGTCTATTTCTCTCTACTTCCTGAGGGAAATCAAATCATGAGGAATAGTTAAGTCCCTGGTCACATACGTGAAAAGTTCATAAGACACTTCTGTATTTATTTTCCTAAGAGAAAGGAGATTCATCTCATCTGAATTACTCTGTTTATAAAGTGTTACATCCAAAGCACACAAAAGTCAATTCAAGTGTTCTGAATAACATTAGTAGACTTAACATCAGGCCTTAAAGTCATTTATGGAAGAACAAAGATGTCCTTATATGCCTGGATTTTTACATTGAAAGCCATTGAACTTGTTCATTATGAATAAGTTGATGATTTGAACATTGTTTGTTGTACATTCAACTCCAGCTACAAGCCAGAGACATCTTGAAAGGGCACTTCATCATTTTCTCCTCATCTCCCTTACTGTTACACATTACAGCCCAAAGACACTGTCAGGTCTGTATGCAGCAAACTGGGGGAGTACACACAAGATAAATGTGTTATTCAGCTGTTTTCTTTATTGTTTGCAGCACTTTCCCTGAGCTGTTAATGGAAGTGTCTGGGTACTGGCTCAGGCAAACCAAGAGCTGATTCCTTGCCTTCCTCTCTCTGTTGGATCATCTACACTTTCACAGGAAGTAGATGATGAAAAGTTCTCAAAACTCTCTTTATGATTTAATATACTCACCTTTTTAAAAAAGTAACATCTTGCAGATCTCATTCATAATTAGCAATGCAATGTAGAGGTTGTTTAACTAGAATTGCCCCTTAACTGATAGTCTCACAATATTTTAAAAAGTTTGGGAGGTTTTTAATTACTCTAGAGATGAAAAAAAAAACAAAAAACAAAAAACGTTTTTTCCCCTCTCCTAACAGATAAGTGTCTTCATACCAGTTTCAAGATAGTGTTTTCTTTAGGAAAGACACAATCAGCAGACCACCAGCTTGCAGTGTTCAAGCAACAGAAGTGCATTGTTGGGAACCCTTCCTGCTAGACTTCAGCTGTGCTGCCTATTTAATGACATGATTTAGTCATGCAGTATTCCCTCCTGGACTCACCTGAACGCAGCAATATTATGTTTAGAGGACAGAATTATAAGCAAACCTTCCCTGAAGTAGTAATGATACCTGGCAGTGCAGTGCACATGATTTACATCACCTTTGAATGTAGTTGAAAGTATTAGACTGCAAAAATTGAGGAGAGTTTCCAACAGACCAGGTGCAGTCTTCACTTTGTGCTTATTGGATCCCAAATCCCCAATACTGAATCAGTCTCAATCACCCTGAAAGCACCTTGAGTTAACAGCTTGTGCAAGTCAGACCTATCAGCAGAAAGGGGGCCTTCTGAATACTCATTATTGCACTCTAACACTTGGATGCTGAAACCCTGGGAACTTCCCTTTCGTTCCTGCAGTTTCTAAATGAGCAGATCTTTTGACACTCAGAGCCAATGTAGCTTGTTAAAGATGAAGAGAGTTGGCATCAGACATGCAGAAACTCTGAGTCCTCATGTTAGGCAGAACCAAGTCAGAGCTTCACCCATCCATATTCAGTGTGACAGGACAGAGATATCTCATTTGAACAGAACAATTATACAAAATATGAAATGTAGATACAAGGCCTCCTGAAGAGGGAGTCATACACAGATAGGTTTTGGCTCTTTGCTCAGCAAATCTGCCATAATCTACAGGATTTTTGTCTTTTGTGTAGGACAATGATAACCTTTAATTTCTGAACTTCTTTTTTTGCCTGTGGATTCTGGATCCCCCCTGTGTGGTAGGTACATACACCACCTATGTGGATGATATGGGATACATTGACACTGAATTCTGAAAACAGGACAATCTTTCTGATTTTTACAGCAGGCTGATGCATTTTCCCAGTGACCCTTTTCACTCTCTTCTCCTTCAGTTTTTCACTCAAAGGGAGGGAATAGCTATATATTTCTTTTAAGAAATTCCATTGAATGAATATTAATATATTTATATTAATAAATTCTGTACCGTGAGTAAACTAACACTGCACTGCCAATAATTTCTGTTACATAAGTATTGTAACATTTATTTATAAAGAATTTAAGGATTAATAAGATTCATATGAATCTGGATTAAATGTCTGCATTAAGGTAAAACACTCCACAATAATGTTAAAATGCACACTGCAAAAAGGTAGCTGAAAATTATCAATACAATGAGGACAATCCTTTCTCTTAGAGCCAAGTACACATGAACATCAAACACTTCAAACAGTGTCAAAAATGTCAATTGCTTGGAAAAAAGGAAATAAGAAAACAAATGGAATTCATTTGGGTTGGAATTTAATATTTTCTGAAGCTAGGCTTCTGTTGGGAACCTCATGT